CATCACCACCCACCGCCAACTCTTGGGCTACTCTTTTACCAACGAATAGTGGGATTGACCGTCACATTATAACGCCCCCACGGCTGAGCATGTTTGGTGGTATGCGGATTCGAACCCGCGACCCTCAGATTGTTTATCATATGTAATTAATACTTAATATATCATTCAACGTTTCTCTACCGTGGTGTACTTACTCTCAGAACAATAAAAAAAAACTAACAACTTTGTTTCATTGATCGATAAAACGTCAACTAAAGCACTGTGAAGAACGCGGTTCATTTGGAATAAATTATCGTTATTTTTTTTATATATAATTTCAGTACACACAACAAAACATAGGAGAAGGGTGAATGGATTTTCGTTATCGTGCCATGACACAGTTCACAGTTGTCATGGAAACAAACGAAAGAAGCGACGTTGAAAATTGTGTTCGTTAAAAACTAATTTATGCAAGCACGATTATATTTCAGAACTGGCTATCAGGGCATAGCACTTAAGATAATACCGGTAAAATAATAATAATGCATTGTATCTATTGTTTAGAAAAAAAATGAAATTATTTAATAAATTTTGGATCTTGATTATTCACTTGTTTAACATTAAAAACTGATTATTTATTTCAAACAATTTAGAGTTCCTAAAACATTAATAACAATTAGAAAATGAGTTTATTAACAATTTACAATATTGAATATAAAACAGTTAAAAAAAAGTAACAATACGTTGTATTGATGCTAAGAATATATTTTTGTGAATTATTCAGAAGACAAGCTGTGTAAAATATTAAAAATAAACACGACTCCAAATCTATCAATCATTTGTTGACACTTTCTAGTTTTGGGGAATTCCACCCTTCTTCAGTAACCCTGAACAAGTGAAAATTGAAAGTACAAAACAAGGATTCATTACCTTCACACAATGGTGGAGTGTGTGTGTGTGTTTTCTATAAATATAATAGTACTGTCTGTTGTATGGAGGTTCATTAGGTCCGTGTGGGAGTACATACAAATTTTCAGTTTTGCATTTTGCAGTTTTTATGGGCATATTCTACCACTACCTCACCTTCTATAGATGTATCTTTATCAAATTTGGTATGGAGGTCCATTGGACCCATGGGGAGACGCATGTAAACTTGCAGTTCCAAATTTGTGTTCTACAGTTTTAATGGGCATTTTTTACAGTTACATATATGGAAAGCAACTTTTCATGTCCTATGATAACTTTTCATTAATCATGAATTTACATATATATATATAGGGTTTCAA